TAATAGCAAGTGACTGTACAGATTTCTTAAACTCTTCTCTAGTACCAAAGACCATTCCTAGTGCAAATGTTGGATCATAGATATTGCTAGGATTAAAAACAATTTCTCTCTTTTCAACTGTTTCAGTATCTGAACAAAACTCATCAAAATCAAGAGGAGTTTCAACCAAATCTTCATCCCCACTATCAGACTCTGTTTCAATTTCAAACTCCACAGATTTGTCTACATTCTGATCAAAGTCTGCATCATCCCTCCCACAACTACTTTCTGATCTTAGATCAAAGTCACTGTCTATAGTTTCACTGCCCTCATCACCCCCATCACTATCACACCCATCATCACCCCTATCAGACACCTCAACATTTTTTTCAGTACCCTCATTAACATTTTTTTCACAACTCATTTCAGTACCCTTATCTGTCTCTTCACTCATTTCACTCTCACTTGTTTCACTGCTCTGTGATTCACTCTCATTTTTTTTCTCCAATTCTACCCAACCACCATCATCATACTTAGAAGTAGGCACAAATTGGCCTTCATCCATTAGATCAATGTGAATTTCCATCAATCTACTAGTATAGAAACATTTAGCCCAATTACGTACAGTTGAATCATCCCCAAGCAGGTTAAATGTAGCACCCGAGTTGAAATAATACCTTCTTTTTCCTACACACCCAAATAGATCACTAAGACAATCCAATGTATCAACACCAATCTTTGACTTGTCTACCCAGTCAAAGATCATACTAGAACCCCCAATATAATAGTCAATTGGAGAATGCAAAAATTGACCTCCACACCAAAGTTGGACAGTCAAATGATCTTTACTTTCTATAGAACCAAACCCAAGTCAACAAGAAAAACAACAAACAGAATAAGTTAGGGGTTATCAAATGACGACACCAATAATCAATGGTAGAATGTACAACTTATATATTTTGAATGAAATTAGGGGTTTTCACCACATTATTGTTTAAAATTAGGGTTAAAAAACCCTAATTTGTCTCAAAATTAGGGTTTACAAATTAACCCTAATTTGTTTCTGAAATTACGGCTTGTAATTAAATGAATACGATTTGCAAAGAACCCTAATTTCATTATATTGTACGGAATTTAGAACCTCATTTCATTTTAATTCTACGAACTTTAAAAAATGTACCATTTTCACCTCAATTAGGGTTCTACATAGCACGAATTTTCAATAAACAAACAAAAAAATTGGCACTGACCGTATGTGGGAGGTCCATTGTGCATACGAATCTTCTTCCGGATGAACACCTTCTCAGGAATCATTTGCCTTCTTGCTTCTCAGTTCTTGCTTCTTCGAGATTTGGATTCTTTTTCAGAGAGAAATGGGAAGGATGGAAATGTAGGGTTTTTTTCGGAGACAATTTGGGGGGAAATTGATTGTGGGAAGAAGAGCCAATTCGTTTTGTGCCTGTTCAACTTCGGGCCATTTCATTTGTTTTCCCTCCATTTCCACGTGTGTCGACACGTGGATTTTTTATTGTTTTTTCGTTTAAGTTTGTTGGTCTACGTGTCAAAACCCACACCAGTGTGTAAAAACCGGCTCCACGTAAGGCGAGTTGCCCGTTAATTTCCATCACGTGCATGTCACGTGCGTGTTTCCGGGCAATTAACGAGTTTCCGGCGAGTCGGGGACGAATCTGCAACATTTTTTCGAAGTTAGAGGACGAAACTCAAAGTGGCTATTCGAAGAGGACTAAATTGTTTAGAGGGGTATACTTAGAGGACGAAAAATGCACTTTTCTCATTTTTTTCTTAACTTTCACCTCGATCTCAAATTTGAGGAACGGTGATGTGCAGCGAAGGGCACGCTCTCGCGACATAGCAGCATGGTGGTTAGTAAAACTGTCAAAACAAGCGGACGAGGCGGGCCGCTCGTAGCTCACCAAACCCTGCCTCTTGAGGGCAAGGGTGGGATGGCCCGCCATCGTGGCGGCTTGTTGAAAACCTGACCCAACCCGCCCCCGCTACGGGCCGCGGGTTTGGCGGTAGGCGGCCTAGTCAATTATTTTTTTTAAATAACTCGGGTTTGGTTTGGGTCCTCTTAAGTTGGGTTCGGCTTGAACCTACAAGCATTGGCTCGGTTATTGATTGTTAAAAAAAATGTCGTGAACAAAGCTTAAAAAAAAAAAAAAGAAAAACTCAGTGCTTATGATTTATGAACATGAAAGAAACATGCTGCAAACATTAAAAAAAATAAAAAATAATGCCTTCAAACCTTAGAAAAATACCAAAACAATAACCATAATAAAATAAACCTAAATCTTCACAAACCAAAAGCATCATTCCACCATCATCACAAACTAAAAGCATCAACATTATTGAGTTCATCAATCATCTTAATCCCAAAATCAGTAAATAAATAGAACAACTTCAAGTCCAAATATGTCAATTTCCCAAGTACTCATCATTAGAATATGAACAAATTAAGATTACCAACCACTACATTATTAAAATCTTCGTTTCCTTCTCCATTATATTCGTCACCATTAGCACTGTCAAACGGACCGCTCCGGCCCGGCCCGCGGTCCAAACGGGGAGGGCCAAAATGGCCCGCATTTCTACGGGCTGGAAAATACATAGCCCGTGGCCCGCCCGCATTAGCCCGCGGGCCAAATTGGCCCGCCCGCGGGTTTTGTTTATTTTTTTTTATGGTATTTGCACTCTTATATATTTTTTGGTTTGTTTATCCTTATATTTACTAGTATATTAATAAACTAGTAAGGTTTCATGTGTAATGATGTTAAATATTTGTCATCTAGTTTTTATTTTTATTTTTTTATCAATAGTTATAGGGTATTCACGCGCAGGAACGACTTAATTGACATAAAATATTATTTGATTTATTAATATTTTTATTATGTAAAAAAAATGTTTCATGTGCAAGTTAGAAATTAAAAGTAAAATAAAAAATACTACATTTAAATATATTTTTTTTTTAAAAAAAAAGGGGCCAGCCCGCCCCAGCCCGCGGGCCAAATAGGCCCGCGATTGAACGGGCTGGCCAAGCAAAGGCCCAGCCCGCGGGCCACTGGCCCGTTTGACAGTGCTAATCACCATCTTCAAAGATAATTGGACAATGTGATGTTCCACTTGATGAAGTTTTTGTGCAAGCTCATTCATCATTATCTACAAAGAAAATACATAAAATATAGTTAACAAAATATACAAATTTAAACCAAAAGAAAATAGTTTAGCAACCAACTTACCAACAACATAACCATGTAAACAATTATGAGTGCAAAAAAGAGTTTGGACTTTTTCGGGGAGGATGCAACTTCTATATTTTGTGAGCACACGAGCACCAGTAGAAAATGTCGACTCTGATGCAACGGTGGTGAGGAGGATGACCAACATATCACGTGCCATCAATGCAAGTGTCGAGAGGCGATTCTTACAATTTTTTCAATACTCTAAAACATTTAAATCCTCATAAAATGAAAAGTCAAGTTTCATCTCTTCTAAGTAGAGATCCAATGGAGATTTTTCGACACTTGTAACACTTTGTCTCTCAAAAGTTACAATTTCATACATCAAACAAAAATTTTCATCAAATAGTAAGAGTTATTTATTAACTTTGTAGGCTATAATGATAAAAAGAAAAAGAACATTAACAATAGAATCACAAAAGAGGATCAAATACTTACATAAAAAATTATTTTTCCTTTGGATTTTGATCTCGATCCACTTTGCTAAGTAGATGTTGTAGACGGAGGCGAAAAAGGTTGTGCTTGTGAAGAATGTGAGCCAGTAGCATTCACATAATGCTCAAAGAGTTGATATAACGTTGTTTTCACACGTAGAGAGTCACTTCACATTTATCGAATCATGCTCAACTTTCTTATAGAAATACTCCAACATTTGAAATTTAATCCCCATGTCAAGAAATGCAAACACCTCTCTATATCGCCCTCAATACTTATCAAACTTGCCCTATATATTTAAGTACATGTTTCTTATAAGCTCATCCACATTTGAAACATTATCCATCAATAAACTTTGAATTCTCCAAACTTGCATAAAATACAAGTTCGAAGTAGGATAAGAAGAATCGGATATCAAATTGGTAGTTTCATAAAAAGGCTGAAGAGACTCACAAATTTTTTCGGCTCTCGTCCATTCTTCACTTGATTGTAGAACCGAATATCAAGTTGGTAGTTGAATAAGATGCCTCAAAGCAGAAGTTCCATATCTTTCCTCCACCTTTGTACTCTTTATCACACGCTTTACATTTTGCTTTAAAAACTTTATCTGACCCGACACAACAATTCTATGAAAATAAACTCAAACACCAGATCCAACATTTTTTCTCATTTAATTCAGAATCAACTGCATCATTTTTACTGTCATCTAAATCCATACATTCTTTATGTGAAGCAGAAGAATCCATTACCAATTCAACACCTAGAAAAAATATAAAAAAACAACAATAAGCACCAAGTTCACAAATTTTACAGATTCACATGATATACAAAATTTCACCAAATTCATAAGATTTTCAGAACAACTTCAACAACAATAATTTCACCAAATTCAAAACAATTTCAGCAGTAAGTTCACAAAAACACCACCAACAAGTTCACCAATTTTCAGCAATATTTCAGCACTTTAAGCCACAAAATTATAAGATTTTCAGCAACATTTCAGTACTTTAAGCAACACTTCAGAGTACTTTTAAGCAACATTTCAGTACTTTCAAGACACAAAATTATGATTTTCAGCAACATAACAGTACATTTCAACAAGTTTTCATACTTTAAAGCAACATTTTAGGTCCAGAGTTGGTGAGCAAAATACCTGCCAGGCTGAGATCGAAAATATACTCAAGAATCGGAGACGGGGAAAATGGTGTGATGGAGACCGGAAACTTCGTGCCGAACTTCGAGCTTCGGTTGATGGAGATCAAGAGCAGGATACGACATAGGGTCTCGAAGGCGGAGGCCACAGCCGCTGACACTTCTTGAAGGCCGACGATGGAGACGGGCCGGAGGCATGGGCAGAGGTCGGAAAATCAGAGGAAGAGCGGAGAGACTGAGTCGCTGAGCGGCAGGTCTCGTGTGCAACGTGTGGAGGCCGGGTCAGTTCCGAACAAGCATTTGAGACCCGCCGACCGGTGGGTAGGGCCGATTCACGTTAGCCATGTCTATATAAGTACTGTGAAAGAAAGTCATAACATCAAATTGAAACCAAGACTTGGCGGCTGCCCTACTCTCCCCCTCTCTCTCTCTGTTAGCCATGAAGATCTCAATTGCACCCATAATTTTGTCAACATATCTGGCGCTATTGACCTATAGATTTTTTGATTTTGCATCATCAAGAAGAAAAAGAAGAAAACAAATACAAATTCGTCATCATCCCCAATATGACGTCATCGGCGATCTACCAGACTGTGTCCTGATCTCCATACTCACGCGCCTCCCTGTCAATGAAGTTGTCCGGACCAGTGTCTTATCCAAACGGTGGTCCAGCCTCTACAAATTCGTGGCCGACCTCGACCTCCGCTGCCACCACCTTGTCCTCCGCCGTCATCATCCTCCCACTCGTCCATCAATATTCGATACGGTCCAAGGATTTGTGTATCTTTTTTGCGGCGTAGATATCAGCTTCTTAATCCCTCCTCGTCCTTGTAAAGTCTCGACGGACACCCACGATGTATCCTCAAAGTATTTAGACTCCCGCCGTTGTTCTAAAATCCGTAGTCTCGTTTTCTGTTGTTGTCTGAGCAATTCATACTACAGATCATCCAAGGGAAGGTTCCGTGCATTCGTCAAGTACCTAGCAAACACAGCCCAAGTTAAGAAACTCGTTTTTCAATGTTGTTGCCGCGCTTGTAAAATTTCTTGCCTCCACTTTCTTTCCTGGATGCCCGGCTTGAGGTACTTGGAGTTTTACTCGTCAATCTGATTGAATGCGTATTCGCGCAATTCGTATACTAATAACTCCCTACGGAGTCTGAGGTTGAGTAAAGTTACTCTACGCGACGGTGCACTAGACGTAATCTTGTCCGGTTGTTCGGGCCTCTGCTCGTTGAGATTGAATCGCTGTGAGTTTCCTAGTTCTTCTAGGTTGCGTATTTGTGGGCCCAACCTTCGACTGGAGCATCTCAACATAGATGAGTGCATTGGGGTGCAGCAGATTAAGCTGTGTGCTAGCAATCTTGTTACTTTTGAGTTCCGGAGCCGTAAAGTACGGGTCGAGCTCGTATTTGAACACGTCCCTCGTCTGCAGAGCATGTATTATGATGGCTTTCAACGAGACATTATGTATGACGTTCGTGTTAGGCTGTCCTTTGTGTTGCCTCCCAATCAGCTAAAGTCGCTAACTTTGGCTACCCTATATGATATTTGTCGAGTATGGGAACAAAAACAGCATGTCTTTCTATACACATTATATGAGTTTCAGATCTTTAACTTTTGGATTTCTTGATTCTCAGGTTAGCACGCCTGGTTGGATTAACACATATAGTAACCTTAGACAATTAAGGTTACGGATTTCTCGTACAGCCTACACGAGTATGCTTCTGGGGATAATTCCGTTTCTGCAGAGTTGCCCACTCTTACTTGAGTTTCACTTGGATGTAAGTTTTTTTCTAAAACAACAATCTTGTTGTAGCATTTAAGAATAATTTTTATCACAATCTCTATTCTTTGGAACTAATTGCAAACTAAAACAAGTGGATGCAGTTAAATGCGTCCTAATGCGAACTCTCTGATTATAACAAATTCCATTATGCAGACTAAAATTGTGAAAGGTGATGGCCCTAAAGCAATGAGGCCACAGACAGCAGAAACTCATTCCCAGTTGAAAAAAGTGGAAATAACAGGATTTTGTGGATCTAGAAATGAAATCGACTTTGCACTTTATATACTCGAAAATGCAACCTGTCTGGAGCAAATGCAGATAAGCCGGTGTCCCAAGTGGCACATTGGGTTTGACAGGTGGATGGAGCGCGATGACAAGCCTCAGTGGAGTCAACAGACGCGGGAAAACATCTGCCAACAGTTGCAAGGCCGAGCGATTTCGAAGACCGCACGCATAATTATTCGACATTCTCCAATCTACGATGATACTTGGTCGAGACGCAAGGCTGATTATGATACTTATTGTCTATGATTGAAAAGGTTAACTTTCATTATGCAAATGCAGCAAAATCCTAGAGGCGAGATATTCTAGCTTATAGTACTTCTTAGAAGAGGTATTTGTGTTGTTTAACATATCAGTTATGAATCCTTTTTATTTAAGGTTTTTGTTTATAATCCGAACACACATCATATGAAAAACTTGGCAAACTCCTTTGAAAATCTCCGTTGTCATCGCTCTGCCGGTATGAATATGAATTCTCTCGTTTAAATATTCTGTTATTGCGAACGAGTTCGTTTAAGTTGATTTGCTTGTATGAATCCAAAATTTTTTTTGTCAGGTATAAAGAAATCCAAATCTCTGAAATAACTAGCTAGTCCTTTCCTTTTGAATCTGAATTCTCACTGCATGCTTGATTCCCTGCTGGGATTAATTCAATTGTTTCGATTTTGATCTAATTAGGACCACCTCTTTAGTTCGAACTTTGTGATTGAGCTAATTAAGACCACTTCAAAATTCGAGACACATCACAACTGTTCTTAATTAACACCTATATGCGGGTCAGTTATTTTTCTGATTATTATATAAGTAGGAAACTTTATATATATAATTACTGTAAGCCTTCCTCAAACAATTATTTATTGCATTTTTTTTGTACCACATTTTTGTATTTGATCTTCGTCTTATAGCATACGCATTGTGCTCTAGCGAGTCTAGCCGAACCTTTTATTTAGAACATTGGTAAATGCATGGGGAAGAATCTAGGCTCGGAGTTTCTGTTTCATGATGATAGTACAAAAGATTTCTAGAGTGTTTCTGAAGCTCTGCCTGAAGAGATTGCCATATTCTCACAGTTAGCTGTAGAAATATTCAAACCTTAAATTTCTTGTAATTTTGTGGGAAACAAGATTCTTATTTTATTGCTTGCTTGATTTTGAGTAATTTGGGAAAAATTGTTGTTTATTGATTATCTTAAATTCTTCATCAAATAGTGAACGATGTTATTCCCGTTGTTAATGTATACTCTGCAAGGCCCCTGTACACGGCATTCTTAGATATTCATTTTCTTTTCTTCTCTTTCACAACACATTGTCCATTGTGTTGATAGTGATAACTTATCAAATGCGTTTTGTAGCGATTCAGAGAAGATATTTTACATGTTACTGAAGTCGGTGAATATATATTATCCTTTGTATTCATTACTATAAGATATAGTAGGAGATCCAAATCAGGCTTGGAAAGGTAGTATGGTCTTGGATGGCTGATGGAGCTTCACTAGATTTCTCTCTCTTCGGATTTTTATAGTTGTGATCAGTACTTCTCTTTCAGTACTAGGATTTCCCTTTTTTATAAGAAAAATCCTGAGAAATTTGCATATGATCAGCTATTTTTTGGGTGTGAACCTCGGTTGCGAAAGGAACCAAAGTTCGTATATACTTTGGATATGAGTGTTAACAAACTCATAAGCCTTGTACGGAATAATAGTAGCGTTTTAATTGTAAGTGATGATTTATTATTATAGTTATGTTTGATGTCTTTTCTGCTTTGCATCTTTAGGTTCTAAAGACACTTGTCGCAGAATACATTGGTTTTGAACTTATATTTTGCATCTCTAAGGTTCTGAAGACATTAGTTTTGAACTCATTTTTCGCATCTTTAAGGTTCTGAAGACATTAGTTTAGAACTAAATTCTTTGCATCTTTAATGTTTTGACTAGAAGGTTTGAAGTAGGATGTTAAAGAAGAAAGTTTAAGATAACTTGAAAAGCAAAATGCAGTTTTGACGCACGTAAAGAATACAAATATAATATTCCTCTTTTGGTATACGTGCATTTTTAATTGACCGACGCATCATATGAACTTTTTGTTGTCATATGAACAAATTTGATATTCCTCTTTTTGATATACGTGCGTGCATGATAAAATGGCCAAGGCCAACTGCGGCTGTCATTTCAGGGGTAAGAGATGGACTATCTCATGAGAGCATTGCGAGGTTTTTGTTGCTTGCCTCTGATTGTGAGTTTGTTCTTAATTTGTTACGGTTCTGACATATATTGTTGTCATTTTTTCTTTTACCTTTTTAGTTTCAGTTCGGTTAGTTGATAAAACCTCAATATCGTCGATTTCTCCTTTTCTTTTATCCCCGTATTCGCCACATTTTAGGCGGTTGCATCAGATCAACGGTCTGCTAGATGTACTGGCACAATATTAAGTTTAGCTGCTCATTTATTGGGAGTAAGTGTTCCTTGTTCTGGAGCTAGAATCATGGCATTTTTGGGTGGATCCTCAATAGAAGGTCCAGGGGCTGTAACTTTAGTACGGTATCCGAAATGTATCCAAAATGTAGCTTAGTACGATATCCATTTGTGAAAGTTTCTCAATAGGTGCATGTACCCAGGGCTTCAGGGAAGGGCCTATGTGGTGAAAAAATGGGAAACTGGAATACGGCAATGTATTGTCATTTATGTTGTTATGTATACGGCAATGTATACGGCAATTAAAAAAGAGTTGCTTAATTTCTGTTATTATGATGCATTATTGTTACTTTGATCAACTTAGGTCAATGTATTGTCATTTATGTGATTGACCTCTGTCAGCAAGAATGCAAACTGAAAGTAGGGCTCAAGCATGAAGATGTCATTGAATTTGCAAGAAAAATTCCGTTACTAGTGGATATAGTACCGCTGTTATGATGTTTTTGTTGGTGAAAATTTGTGGTCATGAATCTATATTAGTATTGGCTTCCCTTATAACCGTATAGTAACTGCATCAAGTATTTTATATATCCTTTGTTTATGTTGAAATTGTTCATTGATGGGAGAATAGTGCACTTAATTGTTGTAACACAGCTATATATTTTTCACAGAATTTCGGCGTCCTTGATTTTGAGGAGAGAATAGTGGATGGTTTTTATGATGTATATAATCTATCTGGTGATCCAGCTCTTTGAGGGAACATGCCTTCTCTTACTGATCTCGAGAGCAAAATTGGGGGCTCGGATTATGAGGTTGTCATAGTTAACAGAAAAATAGATCCTGCTTTGGAGGAGTTGATGCAGATAGCACACTGCATTGAATTGAGCTGCCCAAAATCTGAACTTGTTCTGCTTATACAACGACTAGCTGAACTTGTTACAGAGCACTTGGGTGGCCATGTACGTGATGCAAATCTTATGCTGGCTAAGTGGATGGAGAGAAGCATGGACTTACGGACATCACTTCAGACCACCATGCTGCCTATTGGATCGTTGAGAATTGGTCTCTCACGGCACCGTGCGCTGCTTTTCAAGGCAAGATTTTAGATCTCAAATTTATTCACCTTTCTTCTTTTTTGATAGCCGGTATGATGATTCCCCTTGCTGGAGTGCATAAGTGACGTGCGGTCATTTGTGAGGATATATGAGTTATAATAATTTCATTGTTAAAAGTTTTCAGTTATTCGTAGTGGTGCTCAGTTGCTCTTGTAATGCAGTCTTTTTGGTCTTTGCTTATTGTATCCGGATGATGTGCTAGAATTTGCTCAAAAACGTATTCATGCACGAAAAATTAGAGCTTAGTCCCTCTCATTATGCTATTAAATGCTCTTGATTTCTGATTATGCCATATCTGGGCCTTTATGTAATTTATTTGTTTTCTTGAATGCAGGCATTAGCTGATAGTGTCGGACTACCCTGTAGACTAGTGAAGGGCAGTCACTACACTGGTGTTGAGGATGATGCTGTTAATGTTGTAAAGCTACAGGATGATAGGTAACACATAAATAATTTCTACGTTCTTTATGATAATCTTATCTTTTTTTTGAAAAAAAAAAAGAGCTTATTACATTCATCCCAAGACAAACAGCTAATAAGTAGAAATATTCCAAATTGGAGTGGTTTTTATGTACAATGTGTTGGTGGAAACCTCACCCTGTCTTCATACTTCTATACGAATAGCATTTTTAAAGTTTGAGTGTTTCAAAAGGCAACATTAGAGCATTGATGGCGAATTAAATCAATTTGTAAGGGGTAAAGCCCATTTTCTCCGAATAAGGAAGTATCTCTTTTGTCACTAAAAGTAATTCTTCATTGCTCCTTTACGAATACAAATGTTGTCAAAGTCCCAAGAGATGATAGTTTCATTTCTTGCTACGATGCACTGTTATTGGTGCCTTTGATATAGGCAAAAATTTGTGTGTGTGGGTTTAGCAATACTTGATGTGGTTGTAAGTGTCTCAAAATTGTATTTATTGTTGGATATACAGTTCCAACGAGAGATTGCGTTACCAGCTGACAACTTACTACTTACTGTACATCTAAATTGCGGAATGTTATTGACTTTTGATATATATTACAAACAAAATTTGTATTATACACTTTGCATTGCTTAAATATCTTTACTTGCTCCTGCAGTGAGTGCTTGGTTGATCTCATGGGAGCCCCTGGGACACTTATCCCTGCTGATGCTCTGAGTGGGAAAGATGCTGCTCTGTCAAACAATCCACAACAAGGTAGGATTTCCAGTTTGCATACAACTAGTGATACAAAAATTTCTTCGACACAACCTACTTGGGATTCTATTCTAGCTTCACCGTGGAAGTCAGAAGCACTGTTTTCATCAATGGATGTCGGTGCTAAGGATGGAGTTGGAACTTCTGGATTAAATGACAAATTGTCTTCTGCTAATCAGTTGGATCATAGTCTCTCACAGTCAGTTGGAAGTTCATTAAATAAAGGGAGCCTAGGACCTAATTCAACAGGCGATGTCATGAGGATAAATATGAATGTTGTCCCATACAGTTAGAAAAGTTCTGAAGATTCAAAACATCTGTTTTCTGAGCTTAATCCCTTTCAGATAAAAGGATCTGGCAAAAATGTTGTGCAGAACAGTCTTGGAAATAAAGTTTGTAAGTTGCATTTTCCAAAAGCAAACATTGTTAGCAGTCGGCCTCCTGCGCCCTTGATGTGGAAAAACCGTCATGCATTTAATGATGTCCACCATAAGGGAAATGACAGTGATTTTGCGGAAGGTTCATTTATGAAGAAAAATTGAGGAGCTAACAATGGCAATCAATCATCAGTCGTATCTAGAAGTTCAAAGATCCCACCCAGACCACCCTCCAAGTCACCGGCAATATCATTAGCTAATCGTGGAGAGACATCCGGTGAAAGTGGGTCTGCTCAATTGTCTTCTGTGGAAGGTTTTACATCAAATGGTGGGGAAAAGTATTGCGGAGAGGATCTACAAATGAAGAGAACTGAAGCTAGTTCTGGTGACCACATGATTAGGCAAAATATGGGAGAAAGATTAATTGCGATCAATTCTAAAATGGACACTGAAGGTGCAAGTTCTAAAGTTGATACAGAGATTGATGATGTTGGTGAATGTGAAATTGCTTGGGAAGATCTTGACCTTGGTGACAGGATTGGACTAGGTAATACAAGTACCTGCTTTATTTATATACTTTCACATGATGATTAGCACAACTGATTTCATTTTTCATCAAATGTTTTCCTGGGCCCAACCACTATTCTGAGGATCTTGTTGGCTCTCTTTTCATCTTGTTGTCCTATTAGTGTTTGTTTTCAGTCACTGCAAGAATTCTCATGGTGAGGTATTATTCTTGCAGGTTCTTATGGTGAGGCCTACCATGCTGATTGGAATGGCACTGTAAGCCGTCTTCTTTTGTAAATCTTTCCAATTATCCATATACTAATGTTAGCATTTGTTCAATATTTATATAGTTTGGTCGACATTACTGAAGTTTATAGGATAGACAATTGGTCGGAAATGTTTGATTAGATAGGGATGGTGATTTTTCTTTCAACATCATCAACCACACTTGATTGCAACAGTGATATCCAGCCACATCCTTAATTGTTTCTGTTTCAACTGCAAAGTACGAAATTTGGTATTTTCCAGTTGGAGTTATAGAGTTATAGACTGAAAACAATTATACTGTTTCCCATGTCATGTGTTGTGTGGGCTGCTGAAGTGAGATGTTCAGATATAGCAATTTGTGAAGGTTAATGATGATTTTGCATGGACCAGTGAGGATCTTAATCAATAACCACACGAAATGGAGAGTTTCTAGTAATATTCACCATAATAAAGGCGCTTGTAGACTGTGATTTAGTGTTAGGCTAGATTGGGAAGGATTCTATCACTGGTGTTAATGCCCCGTGAGACCACAATCAAGACTGGAATCAAGCAGTATAAAAAACCAACCTATGATAAAATGATTTATCCAGACCAGTCAAGCAATCATAGACTGAGCTTTCTTGTTCTTATGTTCTATGTATACGAAGGCAACTATGTCAATTGTAATAGCATATTAGCATATTTCTCTTGCTTGTAAAATGTAGTGAGACTTCACCTGTGCTTGTGTGCATGATACTATAAGGAGTCATTTATGAGTACATATTCCTCTTTGTTTTGCTCCTTCTGCAGTGTATGTGGTACTAGTTTAATTATTTCTCATAAGTCATAGCAATGTAAAGTGACAATCGGCCACTTTTTATTGTTTTATGGAGTAAACAACTCCTGCTTCTTTGTATATATAAGTTGCCCCTCAGACTGAGGATTGCTTTGACAACATGAAGTTGCTGTGAAGAAATTCCTTGATCAAGATTTCTCAGGTGCTGCTTTGGATGAGTTCAAAAGAGAAGTAAGGATTCTCCTTAGATGTAACTCGCGAATTATGCTGTATGGTATCATAGTAGAGTAATATAAAAAAAGGTTCCCTTTTAATACTTATCCTGTAATTTATGACTATTGACACATTTTATTTGTAAACTTTTGGCGTGCCAAAAAGGAGAAAAATCTTAGAATGATTTCATAATCTCGTACACAGTAAGTGCACCAAGCACCTTATATTACATATAAGTTCTGCACGAAACTGTTCATTAGCTCTAGCGCTTCTCCAAAAAAAAATAAAAAATAAAATAAAAATAAAAAAATAAAAAAATTGGAAGATAAATATATACGAATAAGAATAAAAAAATGGGAAGGAAAAAATTAAGACATGAACTATTTAAAAGACTCGGCTCTGATCTCAAATAGTTAACTGTAATGGATAATGAAGTGTTCATGGTAAATTATGACCCAAATACATTCAGTAGTATGTCATTTGTGTACTTGCTGTGACTTGGAGTTCTTATAATTCTTTGAATGTTTACTTTCACTAACATGACGAAACAGGTATGCAAGACACTGGATTTGGTTTCCGATTACCTTTATATCATTCTGCTCTTTGATTTTGTGTAATAAATGAAATTTCTTGTCTGTTATGTTATAGGTGATATTTTATTCTAGAAGGGTTAGTTACTGTTTTATGATGACAGGTGAGGATAATGCGCAGGTTACACCATCCAAATGTAGTTCTTTTTATGGGTGCAGTAACTCGCCCCCCCCCAACCTCTCTATCATCACCGAGTTCCTTCCTCGGTAAGTTGCTGATCCTTGGTGTTTTTCTTTCCCGTCATCCTTCTCACAAGTCTTTCAGAAAACCTTGAAAATTGTTATTATGTATCGTAATCTCCTCCACCTTCTAATTGAGCCCATGCTATGTGTATATGATTTAATTCCACATGCTTCTGCAAACTATCCTCATTTCTGATTGACAGACACGTTTCCATCACACTTTTATTGTAATGAAATACCAATGAATCTCAATCGAATCCACCCATTTGTTTATTTCAGTGGAAGCTTATATCGGATAATTCATCGCCCTCATTGTCAAATTGATGAAAGGAGAAGAATAAAAATGGCTCTTGATGTGGTATGTTGTTTACCTTTGATGCACTCCTCAGGACATTAGTAACTTGTTTGTTATTAGTATCTGACCTGGAGTTTACACTTTCAGGCTAAAGGCATGAACTGCTTGCACACAAGCATACCGACAATTGTTCACCGTGATTTAAAATCACCCAATCTTTTGGTGGATAATCAACTGGAATGTCAAGGTATACACTGTTAGATTTTCGATCACATGATTATGAGTATAGCACACACCGTGTTGTTTTCCGCATAAATTCATTTCAACGCCATGTAATTTGGCTTTTTAATTGCTATCATTTTTTAGAAGAAATGCATATCAACTTTTAACATACTGATATGCGAAGTTATTAAATCAGCATGTTCATAGATTTTCCAATCATGAGTTATTACAGTTGGAAGTTTTTTACGATACTATGTGCAGGTGGGTGATTGTGGATTGTCTCGATTGAAACACAATACTTTTTTGTCTTCGAAGTCAACAGCTGGAATAGTGAGTATTTGACATAGCTTTTGAAAAATACTTGTGCACTTCAGGTTCCAATTTAAATCTAGGAGTTTAATTGTGACATTTTTCTGTTTATTCTTTCAACTCATATACTTTTGGATGTTTTGTTGGGTATAAAGCCGGAGTGGATGGCCCCAGAAGTACTCCGAAATGAGCCTTCAAACGAAAAGTAAGTCAAATAGCATCATGCTCAGATTCTTGTTCTTGCATTTCCAATCTTTATATTTTTGTGTTCAAATTCCAACTCGAGTTTGAAATTTCATCCAAGCAGCTAGCATGTGAGAGATTCCATAAGTAATGTTGATCCTCCAGTAAACTAAATAGAAGTTGCGATTTCATAGATGCTGATGAACTTGAGAAAAGCATTCATATATAGTTTATCTCCATTTCCTATTGTTCCTTTTTTAGTTTGATGAATGAATAGTTTTACAAGTTAATGTTGTGAACTCGACAGGTGTGATGTATATAGCTTTGACGTTATTCTATGGGAACTTGCAACTCTCAAGTTGCCCTGGACCGGGATGAATCCAATGCAAGTGGTGGGTGCTGTAGGTTTCCAACATCGACGACTCGACATCCCAAAGGAAATGGACCCCCTAGTAGCTAGGATAATATGGGAATGCTGGCAAATGTAAGGTCCTACTCCTATATATATGCATGAGACACTCCACATGATACAAATCCTCTATAAATATTCTAAAATAAAATATTTTTTAAAAAGATTACAAAAAAGTAGAAGACACTAAAAACAACGAAAATAACTAAAAAGTTGCATGTTTTGCTCCGTTTGGTGTAACAATTATCGTCAAGCAGTTTGGAGCAAGTTCTCTCATTTTGTCTCTTTCAGTCCTAGATATAATATACCAATTGCAACTTTGCCCTCGGGGACCCGAATTTGCGCCCATCGTTTGCGCAGCTTTGTGTGGCGCTCAAGCCTTTGTAGCACCTTGTCGTTCCTTCACATGCAGAGCAACTGACTGAGCCATTGCCTCGGGAGATTGGAATTAAACCGATGCCTTAAAAGACGAGTCTCCATTCCTCAAATGTAAATGTGGTTCTACAGTAGCTTGCTGATTGCGATTTGTTCCATCCGATATATTTCTCTAGAGAGAAATGGTGAAATAAAATAAACAAGGAATTCTATTGTAAAGTATGTTCTGCCACCTTTCTAAGCATGTATTGGGTCTGTTTTGTTGTATGTTCCCAAGTCGGTATACAAAGTATATGTTGCAGTATCCTATGCATACTTGCCATGCTAAGCCTTTTATTCATGTATTCTAAAATTTGGAGGATTTTTTTTTATTATTTTTTTTCCACGACAAAGAAGAAACTATATTTCACTCAGAAAAAATTACCACCGAAAGTCCAACTGGACTAAGACCCAAGCCATCATCTTCAAACAGAAGGAAAAGCTTAGTAGGGGGAGTAACACAGAAGGCCCTCCCCCTCCACAACCAACAACAGGTTCGAAAAACTAAAAAACACAAGCATTTATATCAAACTAAAAACTACTACATTGAAGAGAATCTAGCAAACAATAGATGTCATCGGCTGTTGGGAGTAAATTTAAATCAAAGTCCCTGCCTGCATTTCAATTTGTCCACAAAATACTTGAGAATCTTCAACGCCAAACAACTCCAACTGATAACAGCAGCAGCAGCTTGAAGTTCGTTCCAATGGATCGATCACTGATGTTCGTTCTCCCTAGAGCATTTCCAATGGACATCAGTGATCGACCCATCTTACATCACACAAATATGCTTCCTTCTGATGGATCGATCACTGATGTTGGTTCTCCCTAGAGCATTTCCAATGCAAATTCCCAGCCCACGCCACCCCAATGAAGTTCAATCCTTCAATGCTAGTGGATCAGGCACTGACGCCAATTGAATGATGCCCTACCATACCAGCATTTGCAAGATAATCCTTTTTGGAGCCCAAAAAAGAACTGGAACAAAGAGAAGAAACACCCAGAGCTAAAGCTTTTACACTCTGAAATTCTCCATAGTCTCTCTCTCTCTCTCTCTCTCTCTCTCTCTCTCTCTCTTTCATTCAGCAGCTCATGAAAATCCAATTATTTTTTATTTTCCAGAGTCACCACAAAAAGTAAGTTGATAGCTCCATTCTCTTCCTCAGACATTCTGAAACATCACTGCAGCATAATTCCATCCACCGATCTTTACAAGAGTAACCTTTTACTGCAATGTCTTTCCTCTATATCCCTGCCAACATCCAGATTGTTTTGGCTCTGATACATCTAAAGAACAAATGATCTTGATCTTTTTCCTCCCCATAGATCAGGGGTGGACGCAGACTTTAAGGACAACAGGGGCACAAATTACGGTCCACAGTCAATGCCGGAAGTCAACAGTCAAATCAATATTTAACCAATTAAAAAAAATAAAAAGATTAATTCTTGACCAGACACTTTTTTTCTTATTTAAATGTATAATATTTATTTTTTTATGTATTTTGGGATGAAAAAGAAAATAAACAAGAAATTGGGTATAGCATAAACATAAATTTCACAACTTAAAAAATAACATACTGGATAAATAATTTTAAACATTTTCTTTTTATTATTTTATATTGAAATAACTTTGAATAATAATTAATAACATGTATGTTTTTTATGTCCATTCAATAATACATTTATGCATATAATATATATTATATCATTAAAAATTCTACAGGGGCGAGTGCACATACGGGCCCCCGTGTAAATCCGCCAATGCCATAGATGCTGCAAATTACATCTCTCTTCTCTCATTTCTTCTCTAGTTGAGTCAGAGTCCATAGGAATCCATTCCAACATATCCACAGGAAGTTCTTGAGTTTGTTCTTGACTAGAGATGTCAAAACGGGTCTGGGCCCGCGGGCCAGCCCGCCCCGCCCCGCCCCCGCTGAAAGGATGGGATGGGTTGAGATTTCATAGGCCCGCTAAAGAGCGGGCCTAAACGGGCTGGCCCGCGCGGGCCGCGGGCTTTGGCGGGGCGGGCCTAGCGGGCCGCGGGCTAGCCCGCCTCTGAAAATATATACACACTGAATAATTGGGCTGGGAGATTTTGGTCATTTTATTTCACTCTTCTCAAATATAATGGGCTTAGCCCATGTTAAATATTACATAAAACAACTAAACAAGGCAAGTTTATCAAAGTGGCCCATACCACTACCTCTCCTCTCCAAACACACTTTTTAACTACGTTCAGAAAATCCCTAGCTTACCCCAAAATCAAACACATCTAAATTTGCATAAGCAGCCCAACTTGACGATCTGCTGAAAGATGGCCGACGAGGACGAACTCAGGTTTCGGCACTAGCTATCGACACAAACACGATATCACGGAAGGCCCCCGTCGGGAAGAACAATTACCGCCGATGAAGGAGAAGTGGTTGTCGTCGAGGAAGGAGAAGTGGAGGCCTTCGCCGATAAGACCTCGGTAGCAGCGTGCCGGATGTTCGTGAGGAAATCGAATATGTTGATGGTGAACTGATAGGGTTGAATCGGATAATTTTTTGGGGATAAAACTATATACTAGTGAAGTTTTGTAGTTCAATTTTATTGTTTTTTCTTGGAAGTGTCTGTGCTTGGTTGGCCATAACCGTGTTTTGAGTTTTGTTCAGATTTTCTTACGGTCTTACCCTCTCGTGTTTTTTTTTTTTTTTT